ATTTTTTCTCTTATTTGTTCCCCCGTTCTTTAAACTATTGTCTTACCTCGTTTCTTATCTAACAATTAGAATTCCGTGAACGTAAATGCCACTTACGTATATACTTCTTTATGCAATTTTTCTATGCACAGACATTCTAATTTCAAAACAAAAAACTGAATAAATAGAAAAACCAATGTCACACGACTTTGAATTCACAGGATTCGTGTATCGTAAAATTCATTGTTAATATAATAATATATATGATTGTTCTGATTTTTATAAACTATACGTGGCCGTGTAGGGTCCCGGAGGGTTCCCGAGGTCAAATGTTTTTTTTATTAAAGTTCAAGGGAAATTATGTTATGGTATGTGTGGTGTATTTGATTGGTACATTCTAAAATTTGTTGACTTCAATTGATTTAATCAATGAAAGAATAAGATACAGAATTCTAAAAGACTGTTCTTTCACTGAGGAAACACCACATTAACATTATTCATTTTTTAAAAACAATCAGTAACTTTAAATATTTATATATATAACACCTAATATAACTATGTATCGTTACATGTCGCTAATGATCTTGCTGTTGATACGATTATATAAACTGATAATAAAAAAGACAAAAAATATATATAAAATATACATAATATATTAAACTGATATATAATGAAAAAAACAGGTTCTAATGTATATAAAGAATATTGGAAATCCTTAGAGAAATTGTTTCTATTTCTTGAATATCTACTAATATTACGTAGGTTCTTCCTTCGTAGGATTAACTCGACGATTCTGTGGGTTGTGTCTAGTCTAACCTCCCGTTCACCACTCAAGGCGTCTTGGCTTGGATCGATCGATCCACCACCCACCACCCATGTATCTCTTCTTTTTCTTCTTCTTCTTTCTTCCATCTTCTTTTTACTATGAAAATTGTCGAGACGTTACGAGGAAAATCTTTCTCTCTCTCTTTCTCTTACTCTGTTCCTTCCCTTTCCCCGTTTCTTTCTAACTGTTCCCTTACTCAAAGAAAAAGCCTCAAGGGTTTTTACTCGATGAACCTGTCACCGTGTTTAGAACCCGAAACGACAGGTGTCTTTGCCAGATACCCCAAAGAAACTACGAAATACAATCTAATTACATCACGTTTCTCCTTGGATAATGTTTTTTCTTTTTCTTTTTCAAATATAATATCAAATTAGGGTAGATAGGTTTGTAACTACGTTACGAATGTTAAATATTCTTGATTGTTTGTTTATTCACAAGTGTGTCACTATGACAAACGACACATGTTCGTCCATATGTTATACTCTTTTCAACGCAGAACATAGTAATCGTATCTTTAGAACCTTAGTTTATTGTTAGTATAGGGCTTATATAAGTCGAATCGTCATCTCATTGGATTATTCTTGATCAAAAAAGATAATGTTACATACATTTCCTACGAATTTTATTGATATTTGTTCAATTTTGTTGATGTATGTGAAGACAAGTTAATATATGAAATCAATTTAACAAGTGTGCTTAATAATTATGAAAGTAATCTAACCATAAGTCATATATCTTTTAGGATTACATCAAAATGAATTTTATATAATATTAAAATAACAAATCATTATCTATATCGTGTGTGAAAATTATATTGAATTCATTTAGTTTAAAATAATGTGTTGTATGAATAATAACTGATTAATTCTTTTTTTTTAAATTTACACTTCAGACCACTTTCATAATTATGGGTATAAATATATATATATTACTGTATAGTGTATCGAGAAAATACACTTTCGGTGTTGCAAAGTAACACCAGGATAACCGGTAGATTACCTTTGTGTCTCTCGAGATATTTGATATAGCCAAGTGAACGGCGATAACTTGCAATAATCCTAGCTGGGATTTCCCAAGTGTCGTGGCTATCTATCGTGTCAACGACTGCTCTCTCTTTTTCTCTTTTTTTCTCTATTTTTCTATTCTTCCTTCTCGATTTATTCTCTCTCTCTCCCTTTCTAAAACCCCGGAGTTGGTAGAATCATTTTCTTAGAGTACAATCAGCGAAAAATATTTATTACTCTTATGTATTATTTTATATTATTCGAAGAACAAAAATTTTATCGATAATAACCACCTTACCCGTAGACGAAATAATTATAGTTTAGTGAATCATTATTTTATCCTAGAATAAACAATACAGGTGATTACTGATTCTCTTTTACGTATTTATTCGAAAGACGTTGAAATTCTCATAAGGATATCCTGAATATAACGTCATATTTTTGTTCTTTTATTTATCATATTTTTAATTGGAGTTACATGAATAACGATTGAAACATCAGAAACGGAATTATAATATCAAATATTACTCTCTATTTTTTATATAACATAATATAAATTCTTCTTTTTTTTTTCCTGAAATGTTCTACAATTTATTTAACCGTACTCCGAACATTAATAGTTCCGTTATTTTACAATAATTCGTAATCGTCGTTTCTAATTAATTCGATAATGAACCTTTTCAAAGAATCCCACTGTTAGTTTGAAAAAAGAGAAAGTATATTTGAAAGATGAGAAAATTGTTGTCATTGATGAATCTCTTATCTCATTGTCAGCAAAATTTGAGGTCGATAGAAAAGGGAAACCTTGCATTTCCAGCAGTATTTAAATGGAGGCTTATAGGGCAGGCCTCACCTTGTTATCTGGAGCAGCAGCAACGCCTGTGTCTGCTGAGAGAGACTGTGGTGTATTGATCTGTCGGGTTGCTCGACTCTCTCTCTCTCTTTCTTTCTCTTTCTCACAGACTTTCTCGCTCTCTATACTCTCTCACCAAGAGAAAAAGATACCCTGGGAAAAAAAGAAAATGAAGAAAGGGAAGGAACCGTTAAGAAAAACTAAAAACAATCCTTTGAGGTTTTTTTCGTTGATTGTAAACTCAAGGAACGAATTCTTACGTAAAACTTAGAAATGTAGATTAGGTCGATGAAAACTAAACAGAACACTGAACTCGTCTATTATAAAATCTTATTCAAAATTAATTAGAATTTTTATCTTAATTTACGTAAGTGTCAATTTGATCAAATATCAATTGGATAATGTTTTAACAACGTCAATTATTTTCTCATCGTTTTATTCGATCGTACAACTTTCAATCTTCCAGTTATTTACACTGTTCTCTTAATGGTATCGATAATACATTTAAAGACGATTAAACTTGTCAAGAAAATGATCATAAGTGTCGACGTGTGTTTAAAGTACCACGCGACCTGTAAACCACGTGCCTCCCTCAACAAAATGTCAAAGTTCATTTCACAAAGGCGTCAGATTAGAATATGTCAAAAGGTTTCTATCGATTTCTTTACGTATATATGCCTCTTATATATCTGTATACTCTTCTATGTATCGTGCAATATTATATGAGTTAGCTCAGAAGCCAATGCGGTTAAATCCATTTCTTTTTTTTTTTTTTTTGATATTTTCTAGATTATTTTCAATATTTTAATGGAATCAATAATATTGTTTTTAGTTATTAGCAGATCGATTTATAACTCGAAAAGTCGATTCATATTCGGGTAGTTTAGAAACAGAATTAGAATTATTTGTAACACTAGAAACGAGCTGGACGATGAACATAATAATCTTCATCTAATTCGATTCTTATTATACTCGACAAAATGAAGAAAGAAAATAAATGAGATGTCAAAAGGGATTAAAAAATAGTGGAGGACAAGCACGTCAATGCGTATATAGTCGAGTGTACGTAGAAGTACGATACGCGAACCATTGACTTCGTTCGTTGAAGGACACTTCTCTGGCCCACATTTGCTATCCCCTTTTACCATGGTGACCTCCATTCAGGTTCAACATAAATGTAAAGGGCGTACTTCGTTGGCTTTTCATGCGTTCTTCCCTTGCACGCGACTAATACTTCCATAGACTTTTTCTCCTCTTTTTCCCTCTTTCATTTTCCTTTCTTACGGTTTCGCTCCGATGAACAAACACGAATCGTGTCAGGGTATTAGTCCAATTAGAATTCACAATATTCAAATTCATATAATTTTATTCAAAATAATATTATATCAATATGAAATTTCGTTCGAATCATTCAAATGAAATCATTTCATTCGTAAATGTTCATTTTTGTTCATTTATTTGGATCGCGTATAAAATCAGCCTACCAAAGTCGGGTCTATTCGAAAGGCCGCTAGTATATTTTTAACTTGAGAACCTTCGGGCGACTCAACCGGGATCAATATCTACCACCCCCAACGCCCCATGTACCATGTACTACGTATTACTGGAAGCAAGAAGGGTACGCTAGTTCGTTTTAACCTATATATCGAGCTGCTTCCTGTCTCGACTCTACCCGTTGAAATTTCCAACAAATTTTAGTGGCTACCTCTAGTAGTAGTAGTTAGAACATACGTTTCTACGAAATTTTCTACGAAATTCTACGAGAGTTAAACTTTACATTACGTTTAATATCTAACAAATACATATATACATACACATTTCTTAACCAATTATATTATCGTTATATTCTTATCGATCGACTTAATTGCATAAGAATGACTTTCTTTTTTCTTTTTCGTGAAGTTAGACCATTTCGTAGGCAAGCTTTTATCCTGTTAGGATATCGTATAGTTACTAGGTATTATAGTCAGAGAACGACATTCACAATCGGGGGAAGTTATTCTCGAAGGTCTCCGAGCAATAATCCCGTTTATTGCCTCCCCTTATTCGCTGAGCTAGGGAATACTCGTTCCATAATGTGTGCCAATTCGTATTGGCTAGACTATGTTATATAAGTATAATGTACTCGGTTAAAATGAAAAATGTCGAAAAGAAAGAAAGGAATAAGACGAAATGGTGGCAATTTAAACTATACAACCACGTCGTAGTTAAAAGTATTGTATCTAGGGAATTTATAGGGATAAACAAACTATGGGAAATTGTGATATTCAATAATAAGGATTGAAATCAATCGAACTGTCACATTAACGTCGTTTTTTTTCTGAATTTTCTGTTAAAGATTCGTAATCAGCTGGAGTCACTCGCGACGACGTCACGAAGGACATCATCGTCGTCGTCGTCGTCGTCGTCGTCGTCGTCGTCGTCGTCGTCGTCGCCGTCTTATTCAAATCGGCAGGAACCTTAACGAATATAATATTCCCGTATTGGTGGGAAAAGGGGCGATCGGGCAGCGGTGGTGGTACCCCTCTCGACTATCCCACGGTCGCTACGAGCGAGAACAGCCCGAAGATTTTTCCACCGAAGTCCAAGATGCACATCGAGGTGCAGGTGGCACTCAATTTCGTGATATCGTATCTTTATAACAAGTTACCACGGAGGAGGGTCAACATATTCGGCGAGGAACTCGAGAAAGCATTGAAAGATAAGTTCAAGGGTCACTGGTATCCGGAGAAGCCGTTCAAGGGTTCAGCGTTCAGATGCCTCAAAACTGGCGACCCGGTGGATCCAGTTCTGGAACGAGCAGCTAAAGAAAGCGGCGTACCGATTCAAGACATCCTGGAGAATCTGCCGGCCGAGTTGGCCGTCTGGGTGGACCCGGGCGAGGTCAGCTATCGAATAGGCGAGATGAATGCCGTGAAAATCCTCTACTCCGAGACCGGAGATCCCCACGACGAGAGTTCGGCCGATCGAGAGGTCACCAAAACTTTCAATCCCGAGGCCCAATGCTTCAGACCGATCGAGGCTGTCGGTACGTCCTTGGGTGGTCTCAGTTTAAGTCCCAAATCCACCTCGCCCTTCCCGACTTCTCTAGCCAGTAGCAACAGTAGCAGCAACGGCTCCTCCAACAATCAGCAGAACAGCCACGGTTCCGGGTCTTCCTCGGCCCCCTCGCCCACGCCGATCGGTAATTCGTTCAAGGGCTCGCCCAGCCCCGTACCAAACTTCATCCCGCGTACCACGGCACCGCTCACCTTCACGACCGCAACCTTCGCTCAAACGAAATTCGGCAGCACCAAGCTGAAGACGAGCAGCAAACGAGCGAACAGGTACGTCCTACTGCCTTCTCCTATCACCTGCGTGTCGTTCATGATCAAACGATAAAAACCGAAACGCATCTTAACATAGATGCGCTAAGCCTTTGAACAAAACACAAACAGACTCGCTCAGAAGCCATTCTGTCTGACCGGTTTCAGGATGTCACCCACTGAGTTTTCGAATTATATAAAGCAGCGTGCGATGCAACAACAGATTCATCACCATCATCATCATCAACAACACCAGCAACAGCAGGCAGCTGCGGCGGCGGCGGCGGCGGCCCAGCAGCAGCAACAGCAACAACAGGCGGCGGCGGCGGCGGCAGCCCAGCAGCAGCAGCAGCAGGTGCAGCAACAGGCCCAGCAACAGCAGCAGCAGCAGCAAGGAAGCACCAGTGGCAGCGGCGGCGGGGTCCTGCCGGTGGTGTCGCAGAGTTCGCCGAACAATCGCAGCCTGTCGCCGGGTAGCATAGTGGGTGCCGGGGGGGCCGGGAGCCAACAGCACACGGATCCGAGCGCATATTTCTTCCAGCACGGTCCGGCGGCGGCAACCGCCGCGTACCACCCACAATTTTCCCACCGCAACATTTTCGATTCGTCGAGCCACGGGGGCTACCTGCCCAGCGATCTGTACGCCGGGGCCGCCAAGTTCCCCTCGTCCTACCTCGACCCTGGCACGATTGCCGGGTATCAGTTCTATGGTGGCAGCGTCAACGGTACCGGAACCGGTACCACCGGCGCCGGCACCAACGGGGCCACCAGCAACGGCATCCTCGCTGGTGCAACCGGCAACGCAGGGGCCAACGCGCAAAATTCCGCAAACCTTGGACCCGTTGGCTCGGGTGCCACCCCCAGCACCGGCACCGTCAACGTGGCGGCAGCGGCAGCAGCGGCGGCGGCAGCTCAACAACAACCCGACAAAAATGCTCTCGTCGAGGGCCTGAACAATTTCGGATTGGGCTCGGTGGCACCCTATCCTGCCAGCCAATACCAGCACCTCCTCGTAGCCAATTAATATCCTGCGCGCGTAAACGCTGCTAGGCAAGTTGCCGCCACGCGCCTGACGATTCGCTCCCCTCGCCAGGATGACTCTTACCGACCTTCAACAAGGTCGCCCCATCGATCTGTCGACTCCAAATTATGAAGTCCCCCTCAGGAGGAATGGAAAACGTAACCTAAACTAGAGGACAACTTTATTACATCTTTACCGTTCTCTTATAGTTGATAGACAAAGAAGAGAAGAGGGGGCAACGATAAAACAAAGCCGCGGGGGCGTTATCGTTGACGACACTAAAGTCAAAGCAAGAATAACTGCAATGCATACTCGAGATAGAAAAACCTGACGATTGAGACGACGAGGACGAAGACAGTGCAGTTATTTGTTTGTTCGATGCGATCGAATCGATCACACGAATTCGGGGATTTTACGAACGAATATTATTACCTGCACGACGTTACACACCATCGTCATTATTATTGACATGGAAACGTATCATATATATATATATATATACATACATACATATATGTATTTATACACATACATCTGCACACAACGATACATACAAAAACACGCGTTATTAATAGGGCAGAACTATAATACATACACGTCCCGAGGAAAAAATGATACACGCATAAAATTACACAGAAACACACAGAAAATCCTAGAACGATTTGCAGACGAAGGGAGGATAGTGCAACAAGATGATGCTAACTATTTGAATTATGCGAAAAGTTTTCGAAGAAGAAAACTAAACGACACTGAGACGAACGTTCCACACTCTTAGGTTAGAACGTTCAAGGATTACAGTCCCGACGGGCTGAACACACGTATACATAATAATACATACATACATGCATACATACGTATTACACACACGTACATATTACCAAGACGTAATAATTTATTTTTTCACTGGTATAGTCGGAGAATTGATAATGGATATGACTGTAGAGCCTATGTATTATAATTGAAGATGCACTCACTTTACGGGTTCTCGCGAGCAAAAAATAATTAGGAAGAAGAAGTATCTGTCAATTCCTTTCGTCGTGTACACGACAACGACGACGACGGATATTATTAAACGGGGATGGAAAATAAATCGGGAATTAGAGTCGGGGGGAGTGATCGAAAAAACTATGGGAGACGGAAGAAGAAAATAATCTGAAGACCGCCGAGCGAAATCCGAAAAAAAAAAAGCAAAACGAGAGGAGGAAACAATTTTCTCTCTTTCTCGCGGAGGATGAGCACGGATATTATGAACAAACAAAAAACAAACAAAAAAATAATAAGAAAGAGAGAGAGAGCGCACGCAATTTCATACCGTTCGGAAAAATTCGTCATCGGTACGAAATTTTTCATTTTATTTTTATAATAAATACAGTAGAACGTAGGAGAGATAATGTGAGGGGGGACGGGGAAGAGGAAGAAGAGTAGGAAGAGGTGAAACAAGTAGAAGATAACAAAATGGAATGATGATGATGATTGGCGCGTGTCGTATTATTCGTAAGGATTAGCGTACGAACGGTAAAGCCACGTTTAGCGCGTTCACGCCGATGTGCATCACCGGTGGGTCAAACTCGACTGTCGTTGTGTGCAGCGAAAAATATGAAAATCGGGGGCCCGTGTGAACGTGTTAATAAATAATCTTCGAATTGATCGATTTCACGTGAAATCGAAATAAAGGAGGGAAGATTTTGGATACGTGGTGAACGCCGTTGTCCGCACGAATCCTGGATATTAGAAAATTAGTTTAAATGGCCGCGGATTATTATCATGAAATGTCCTTAGAAGAGCTCACGATTTTTGTTCGTTCGACGATTTAAAATGTTGTAAAATAAGAAAGAGAGAAGAATAGGTGTTTGTTGTTGAAAAAACAAAAGACGAGCGACGAGCCTATTGACATATTTTGTTTGTAGACTTTTGTGATATTTGTCTGCCAGCCATTAACAGAGACCAACCAAAAATTAGAAGAAGAGAAAGGGGGGAGAAAAAGTGTATACTCTTTACTTTGATTTTTACTTTTCTAATGATTCGAATATGTTTTTTTCTTCTCTTTTTTCATCTTTGATCATGCACCTCTTCTTCTCGTGAGCTCTTGTCAAGGGAAATTAGAAAGAAAGGAAAAAAAAGGGAGAATATATGGTAAATGGGAATGCAAAAAGGAAATGATAAACGTGGCTCGATAATAACGGCCGACAATGAAGAAAAAATTAGAACGAAAAAATAGGGGAAATGTTAGGTGGTTTGTGGTTCGTGGTCAGTGGCCCGGGGGGGCCCGCCCGGGTACACTAGGTGCTAAAAGTATTCAAAACAAACAGAAAAAAGTGATTATCTTGTCATAATTATGAGAAAATCGTAAGGATGCGCGCATCCGGAGACCGTCGACAGGCCCGAATAATAGAGCAATGAAAACGAAAATGAAACGGAAAGAGAGAGAGAGAGAAAACAAAAAGATTTTTAACACTAGATTTACCAGACCAGTCAGAATGATTGTGAAACTTTCATTTTATTTTGGTAATAATATCATGACTCTTTTGTAGCTATAATTCAAGAATATCAGTTTTATGAACTTTATATTATCTTATATATATATATATATATATATATATTGGTAACAAATATATTTTTTACTATTGCTATTTTGTTGGAAATATTGAATTTTAACCATTTCGGTATAGTACATGTTTCCTCTCTCTTCTTTCTGATCATTAAAACTCGTACTCTTACATAATTAATATGTAAAGGAAATAGAAAGGGAAGAAAAAAAAAGGTTACGGTAGAAAAGACGAAAATATAGGCAAAAAGGTAAACATAAATGTTAATATGATTATATTCAACGAGGTTTATGCATAATCGTTTCCAATCATAATACTCCCTGACCTAAATATTCGTCTATTCTTTCCTAGATTTTTCTTCTCTTTCCACAAATTATTCTATATATAAATACCATCAGATAATATGAATATTATAGGAAAATAGTGGATGATCGTGTTTATAGAAATACTTCGAATGTTACCAACCGAAAAAAGATAATTCATTTGAAAATTTCTCAAACATCGGATTAATTATAATCAACGATTTCGAATGATACGCGAATGAAGATGATAGATAATCGTCGTCCATCGTCATCGTAATTGTCGTCGTTCGAAAAAAAAAATCATAAAAATGATAAATATAAAGATAAAGATAAAAAGAGAATAATATTATTAGCCGTGTTTTAATCGACTCGAAAAAGAAAAAAAAAAAGAAACGAGGAAAACGAGGATCCTACGACGATATAATATATATCTTCCGTTATATTAGTATAAAAATAGTCAAAATAAAAAAAAAAAAGTGTATATGCGCGGGCCACTCGGCAACCGTCCTCTCCGGATGCACGGGGTGCGTGTGTTAGGGTGGGGTTTAGGGACATGGGGGATGGGGGGGTCATAATATATACGAGTTTTTAACTACGAAAACCTATACTTATAAAATTAATTAAAAAAAAAAAAGCGAAGGGTAGTAGTAAAAGAAGAAGAAGAAGAAGAAGAGGAAAAAGAAGAGGAAGAAGAAGAAATTAAAAAGATAAATGAGACGTGTACGGCGAGAAGAATGATGGTGGAAAACGTGGAAGTAATAGAAAGAGAGAGAGAAAGAAAGAAATAATAAAAATAGACATAAATGATGAGAAAGAAAGAGAAGCACGACAGTACTCTGTAGTAATATCTAAACTTAATTGTAACTATTAACGATACGTATGACTGTGTTAGCTATGCTAGTACCTGCTATTGTTAAAAAGAGAGAAGAAAAAAATAAAAATAAAAAGGATTTTGTGGTGGTGTAAGGATGGGATTGATGATGATTATGATTAATTGATTGATTGATTGCGGAAAAAACAAGTGATGAACGAAAGGGAAATAAAATATGTATAAAGTGGTTGAACATGTGAGGGGGAGGGGGTGGAGACATGGAAAGAACGAATGAACGATAAAGTAAAGCACTAGGAATGTCCTCAAATGTAATCGAAATAAAAAAGGGGGAAGAGATAGAGAAAGAAAAAATATATTCTCGAGATGGTGCGAAACCGTGGAGAATCCTCGGATTCGTATTTAAATTATTCTCTTTATAATTGTCCGAGTAAAAATCCATATTGCAACACGACAACCCAGGAAAGAAAAAAAAACACTCGGGCAGTGTCTCTAATGCTCTTCCACTTTTGACGTGTCAGGAAATAGGACCGAAAGAAAGAAAGAATGAATGAATGAATGAATGAATGATTAGATGAGATGAGATTTGCAAATAGCAAAGAAAAATTTGAACCTTCCTAGTCTGCGATACGAAAACTGTTACACGAGGCTTTATTACAACTTTTTTTCTTTTTCTTTTTTGCCCTCTCTCTCTCACACACACACACACTCTACGACGTGATTTATCTATGATACATGAAAGAGAGGGAGAGAGGGATAAAATAATTAGATAAAATTCGGACGATAAGGAACGAATTATGAGAAGAGGGAGAGGGGAAGAGAATAATCGTTCCTGATCATTTTGTTGTTTCTCATCTATTTTCGCATAACCTCGGAGTTTCATATCGAATAATGGGAAAGTTGGATGCTGAGAGTATGAAAAGGTGAACGAGGGGGTTGGAAGGAATGAGAGAGAGTGTGTGTATGTGTGTGCGGGCGTGCGTGATGCTGTATGTGCGCGAGTGTACGTAAAAAAGAAATAGAAAAAGATCGAATGTTGTCTCTGTCGTCGTAAGGATTGCAAAACGGAAGAGAGAGACGGAAATAATGAAGGAAGGGTTGAAGGGGGAGGAAAAGAAACGTTGCAATAAGGTGGTACGCGAATCAAACGGATATCTCAGCACGAAACGAAATGTGTTTTTAGCTAACAATCAGCGAAAGAATCAAAACACGATGTTATTATATACTCTTTCAAAATAAAAATAGAACGAAAGAAAGGGTTTAAGGAAGAGGAAAAATGTGTGGGAAAACGTGGAATGACGAAAGGATGAGAAAATGTAAAAAAAGAAAAAAAAACCAGAAGGGAGAGGGATGGGGTGGTGGAATAATGAAAGAGAGAGAGAGGGCTTTGGTTGCTATGGATCTTATTTAAAAAAAAAAAGGAAGAAAAAACTACTAAATAATAATATATATATATAGAAAGAGAGAGAGAGAGAGCATACACGAAAAAGAGTACACGAAATGGAAGCATATAGTATTATTATTATACGTTTACAATACGATTAAAGTTAAATACAATATTATAAGCAAGGAAATATTAAAAGTACGCATAGTTTTCCAAACCTTGTAATCGATGTACTTGTTTAGGAAAAGAAGACAAACCAAAAAAAAAAAAAATAACAAAAAGAAGAAGAAGAAGGGTGAAAATGAGAAAGAGATAGATTAATTTATGATATAACCATACCACACACGGCCATATTAAATTACATATATAAAGTACGTTTCAAATGGGATACTACTAATAAGAAAGAAAATCTAAATACACATTCATATAAGCCGAGAGTAAAAGAAAGAGAAAGTATGGGGGGAAAAAGAAAAAAAAAAGGAAAGAGAGAGAAAGAGAGAAAGATCAACAAAATAATATGTCTTTAAAATGTCATATGTCTATAACTAATAGCCATTGGTATTGTCTCTTACATAAATGGTAAACAAGTAATCTTGATAACGTATAAAATCATATAGTGATAATCGGACACTTCGCAATACACCATATATGATATATATATATACACATACATAAATATATATTCATATGCATATATATGTATATATATATATATATATATAGAAATAAATTTGTACAATTAGAATGAAAAAGGTAAAGAAGAAGAGAAATGAAACGCATATTATTAACGTAACAAAAAAATGGAACACGCTAAAAGCGTACTACTTACATACATAACACATATATACCTAATTACCTACCTACCTACTTACTTACTTACTTTATCTATCTACCTACTGCTGTATATGATGAAGAAATAATTAAAAGAAAAGTGTTGCGAAAATATATATGCGAAGTTGTGAACGTGGAAAAAAATGGGGATGACGGGAGAAAATAAAGAAAAGAAAAAAAAAAGAAAAATGGAAATCTTGAAATTCACAGAAGAAAAAGCATTGATTGAAAAATCATCAACCTTTACGTTGGCTTAGTGCCAGTAAAAAAAGAAAAAAAACACAAGAAATTGAACGATATCGATTAAAAATTCTTTCGCGTGGACACACACACACGTACGTATATGGGCGCAAGAGAATATGTCATATATGCAATGTGAGATTATTTATTATATCGAGAATTGTATTGTTTTATTTATGAAAATGGAAGGAAATTTTTTGGACGTTATTTGTTATTTTTCCGTACGATTATTTTTAAGAAGAAATATAATATATACATATATATATATATATTGTAATAGATTCTTTATGAAACGTCATTTTTTTCTTTTTTTTTTACGAAATGTGTCAAGGAAAAGTATATTTTTTCAAATGGATATAATTATAATAATAATAGTAATAATAATAATAATAATATAATAATAATAATAAAGTTCTTTCGTGTGTGTATATATATATATATAAATTAGTGAACGTATCGATGATAATTAATGAACGCTCAAAATAGATAATAATTTTGATCGATCTATTAATCAATCAATTCTCAATGAAGTAAAATACTTGACTTAAAATCTTAAAACAATAAATGAATAATTTCGTTTTTTAATATTATCGTAATAAAGAGAAAAACAAGAAAAAAAGGAAAAAAAGAGAAGAAAAAAAAGTATCTGGGAGAGACTTCGTGGTAATAAAATTTTTTATACTTTAATACACATTTCTTCTTAAGAATTAATCGTAAAACGTAACATTGGTCCAAAAGATATTCCTCTAATTTCCGAGAATAATCAAAATATTACAATTCTCTACGGCTAAAAAATACAATTGTTTTGAATGGAAAAAGAAAGAAAGAAAGAAAAAAGAGAAAAGACAAAAAACAAGGAAAAAAAAAGAAATATAACAAACGAAAAAAAAAAAAAGTATTCAAAATTATACGCATATACGTATTATACTCTAAAAGCACACTTCGAGAGTGTCACGAGAAGAAGCAAAAAGGGATTTATGAGAAAAACCAAAAAAAATAAGAAGAAAAAAACAAAAATAAAAGTCAACTATATATAAGTAAACTAGCTAAAGTAAGGAATTAACGAGAAAGAGAGGTTGATAATTAGATTTGTAATTAATTATATATATATATATATATTATATATATATACATGCATATACCATACATACATACATACATACATACATACATCTATATATATATATATATATTTTTCAATACTTTAACTACTTGCTGAATGTAAACTATATACATATTATTATACATATACATAATATATATATATATTACACGAGCCATATTTGAAAAAGAAAAAAATAAAAAGAAAAAATAATAAATAATAATAAGCTGTAAAGAGTAAATGCCGAAGAAAGTGTCGGGTTTTTTTTTTTTTTTTAACGAAGAAGAAAGACAGACAGAAAAAGAGAAAAAGAGGAATCCCTAGTCGTTTCTTTTCACTTGACAAGAAGAAACAACTGGAAAGCAAATATAATAATGGAAGTAAAAGAAAATAATGATACTATTATCCGTCGTGTGTTGGTGATTAGAAAAGAAGATAATCGATTGGTTGTTAAATCAATGCCCCGACTACTATTACCTTAAATGGTTTTATTAAATATTCATGATGACACGAATGTGGAAGAGACACAACGCGAGAAATA